AGGTGGCGGCCGCGCGCCCGCGTGCGCCTCGAGGGCGCGCCCGGGGATCCGCGGCACGCGCCGCACCCCCGCCTCCCTCCCGCTCCGTCCTCCTATTGGGCACGGGAACAAGGGACGCTCTCCCGGGCCCCGGCTCTTCTTGTTTTGTTCCCTCCGAGGCTGGGCGGTTGGGCAGTGTAAGTGTGGCTGGGGTGAATGTTGAGGCCTTGTTCCCCGCCGGGCCCATGGTAGGTTTTTTTTTGGGGGGGAGGGTCCCGCCGACACCCCCACCATCACCCCTGGTCCGTCCGTCCGTCCCCCCGCCCCAGCCTCCCCCCCGCTGGAGGTGAAGCCGAGGGGCCGGAGCCCGCGGAAGGTCGGGGCCGGCTGCGCGTTGCGAGCGCTAGGCCCGGGGCGGCTCGGGCCTCCTCGGCCAGCCACCGACGTGCATCCCCGCGGGCGCATGGGCTAGCCTGGGAACGGCCTCCCGCTCGCCCCCTCACTCTCGTCCACCTGCCTGAAGGTCACCTCTGCGAGTCCGGTCGCCTTGACGGAAGGACCTTTCGGGCGTCCGGTCCCCCGCGGAGGCGGACAGCGGTGGTGGTGGGGGGACCGTGGGAAATGGCAAGAGAACGTGTGTTGGGGGGCGGGGGGCGTCCGCTTGCGAGTCCACGGCCTCTTTCTCTGCCGTTTCCCGTCTTTTTAAGAAAGACACTTTGAGGAGTCACGTTGCAAATATTTTTGTCCTCTGTGTGTGAAGCTTTTTCCTCTCTTTTGCGTCTTACGTGGCATCCGGGAAGTGTCCGCACGCTTTTGGTCTGTCTTTCTACCCCCTGATGCCTTAGGCCATGTTGATCTCCATTCTGATTTGCGTCTGCTTGAATTAGTGATATCTGGGTCGTTCGTCTGCATGGCTGATGTCTGCCAGTAGCTGAGCTAATTGATTTTGAATCCCGGCCCAATACTTTTCTGTAGAAGTCTGAGATGTTTATGGGATTCTGGGAGAACAGGGAAAGTAGCAGTGTTTTGAGGCACGTGCTGCCGCCTCTCACTGCCACCTTTGCCTTTTATGCTCTTTCCCTTAGTCACCTGTTCAAGGCGTTTATCCACACACAGGCCATTAGCTACTGCATGGTACCAACTTCCTTTGGCCAGCTGGTCTTTGGCTCTTATTTTTACCGTCTAATTTAGACAAATGGGATTGCCATTTTTCAGATACTATTACTCCCCCTCACCTCAGAGATTGCAATGTCCTATCTTTTATGTCTCTTTCAAGGCCATCTTATTTCTTTTTCTTTTTTCCCGTATTTTTTTTTTTTAATTTACAGTATTTGTGTTTTGATTGTAACACTTACAGCATCTTGTTCCAGATAGTGCTTTGAGATGATGTTTGATGTGTGTTTGGGGCCCTAAAGAATTGTCAGTCGACAGTACTTGCTTAAGCTGTACATTTGTCACTGTGTGGCCTTTAGTGCTTGCAAGGCAGGGCTGCCTTTAGGGCACTTGACCACGTTAGTGCCAGTACCACCAGAATATTCCTGAGTACTGCCTGAGGATACGAAATACAAACTTAAAGCCATGCTGACATAGCAGGCTTGTAGCCAGCACAAGGGAGGCTGTGGCAGGAGATGATGGTGAGTTGGGGGCAGCCTGGGCCACATGAAGCTTCGATCTCCAACCAAAAAGAAAGGAGGGGGCGGAGAAGTGTGTTTCCCCCCTGAGATAATGGAAGGCATCTGTTAATGATGTAAGCATTTTTCTAAACAGGTTCTCAATTATTTCTACCATTCTTTTTTCTTGAAAGGATTCCAAAACTACCTACCTGGAGGACCTGCCACCACTACCCGAGTACGAATTGAGCCCGTCCAAGTTAGGCGAGGAGGTGGATGATGTTTATCTCATTCGAGCTCAGGGACTGCCTTGGTCCTGCACTGTGGAAGACGTTCTTAACTTTTTCTCAGGTATACCTTAACGTGTGTTTTAAAGAAGCCCGTTCGGTTGGCGCCAACTCGAGAGTGAGGAGCGGCCCCATTCTGGCTGATTACCTTTTCATACACACCATGTGCCACTGTGGGTGCTGCAGGTGGTGCCTACAAATTCCAAGGCTGAATAGAGCAATGTAACAAATGTTAGTCATGCTGAAACTACAGAGTGTGAAACCAGTTAACACTCAAGTTTACTGTGTGCATAACTAAAGGTCAGACTTGTCCGTGGGAATATGTGGAGGAGCAGCTGTTGATGCCATACATTTAGAAGACCAGCTGCACTGAGGTTTCTTAATATGTTTGGGAGATTTCCCAGTGTGCGGTCAGTTTTTATGGCTGCTAGCTGGCTGTAATTTTAAATCTTCCTCTTAAAGTGAATGTCTCGTCTACCGTAAACATGGCCTCATCTGAGTCAGACATTTGTGAGGCCACTCGCCCCTTGCCTCTCGGTTTTGGAAATGGGCAGTATAAAATCATCTTGGCTTAAGGAAAGGCGGTGGGCAGTTAGATTATTTTTGTAGGAAGTACTTTATGGATATATTTTTAAAGGACTGTGATTAAGAATAAACCTGAGCTGCTGTTTAATGGTTGGAAATGGTGCCCTTCTGTGCTTGGTTTACTTTTTTGTTTTTAATGCACTCCCCTCTCCCCACACCTGAGGCAGAGTTTCTCTGTGTAGCCCTGCCTGTCTTGAAACTCACTATGTAGGCCAGGCTGGCCTCAAACTCCGTGATCTGCCTACCTCTACTTCTAGAGTGCTGGGATTAAAGGCTTGCAACACTTTTTTACTTGGAGCATTTTTAGACTCTTGACACCTTCATTAGCATTTGGATGGTTTCAGTGACTGGGTTCATATAAAGAATCTGGGAGGAATTGGGGGAGAGGAAAGAATATGATAAAAAAAAAAGTATTGTTTGAAAATATTAAGAATTTGGTAGACATGTTTGTTCCTGCATTGTTGGAAAATTGCATTGTTATTGTGTTGGAAAATTGAGACAAAACTTTGACTTGATTTAAATGACTTTAATCATGTTTTTAGACTGCAAAATCCGAAACAGTAAGAATGGAATACATTTCCTCCTAAATAGAGATGGGAAACGGAGGGGCGATGCCTTAATTGAGATGGAGTCCGAGGAGGATGTCCAGAAGGCCTTAGAAAAGCACCGGATGTACATGGGGCAGCGCTATGTCGAAGGTGTGTGAGCTCAGGGGCCGCCGACTTCTGGCCTTTAGTCTTTACACTTTCAAGGCAGTTGTCACATAATCTTTAACGGTGATGCAGTCAGTATGTTACACATCTTGAAGAGTTTATTAGCTTATTCTTAGAGTTAGGTTCATCATAACATTCCTCAAACAAAATGTTAGGCATTCTCTTACATGTTGTGAAAGTGGAGCATGCGTGTGTGTGTGTGTGTGTGTGTGTGTGTGTGTGTGTGTGTGTGTGGCAATGTGTGGAATGTACATGTACCCTGAGGGTGGTGGGGTGTCACGGCCCTTGCAGCTGCAGTGAGCACAAGCTACCTCATGTACTTTCTGGAACCAAACTTGGGTCCTCTTGGAAGAAGAGTATGAGCCATTAGGCATCTCTTCAGTTCTGCTCTGTTTCTTTCTCTTTTTAAGTAGTTTTTTGAGTATGTGTGTGCGTGTGCGGGAGTGTGTGTGCGTATAATGATATGTGTGGTAGGCTCCACCAGGGGCTACCATAGGACAACCCTAGGAAGTTGGGTCTCCTGTTGTGGGCTCCAGCACACATGGAACTGCTGAGCCACCTTCCCTGCTCAGTCTCAGTTTCTAAATCTATAGAATGAAAGTATTGCCCAAGTGTGTCTTAAAGTTGTAAGGATTACATAGGTTATGCCTGGAGTACAGTAAATGTTCAGTAAGTATTACCTCTTACATTCTTGACAGAAACTCATGAGGATTAAGACTATGAATGTTTGAATTCAAGCAACATTGTGTTTTGTTCTGGTTTTTACAGGTAGTTTTCTTTGTCGAATAAATTTTAAAACCATTTTTATGCCTTTTGTTTGTAGTATATGAGATAAACAATGAAGATGTGGATGCCTTAATGAAGAGCCTGCAGGTCAAGTCCTCCCCTGTGGTAAATGACGGTGTGGTTCGTCTCCGGGGACTTCCGTACAGCTGCAATGAGAAGGACATTGTAGACTTCTTTGCAGGTGGTTGGCGGTTATCTCTTGTTTGGACTCAGAGTCTTTGTCCCATCATTATCCTTCCTTTTGTACCTTTGACACGTTTCGGTCTTTCAGACGGGTCTTTAGGGGTGTCATCTTTCAAAACAGTTTCATGACTTTTGTTTAGTGATGAAGAAACTGTTTTCTTAAAATAGTGGTCACATTTGTCCAAAACAGTAATTACATGATTTAAAACCATCTGGGCTGGGGATGTAGCGCTGGAAGGCTAGCATTCACGAAGCCTTGTGTTAGAGCCCAGTACCACGCCATCTGTGTATGGCGGCACACACCTGCCATCCCAGCAGCCGGCGAGGAAGAGGAAGAAAGGGCAGTACCTAACTTCCAGCTGCAAAATAGCCTGTCAGTCACTTTGCTTGTTTACATAGTGTCTCCTAAGATATAACCAGTGGTTCTCCCTCCACCCCCCAAAAAAAGACTGAGGGAAAACTCCAGGCTTCACATATACTGTAAAGCAGAGGCTGACCTTGCATTTATTCGTATCCTGCCCTTGCCTGACAAGTGCTGGGATTTTTGGTTACATAATGGTAGTGTTTTCTTAAGTATGTTCAACTTTGAAGCTCGCAAACAGTATCTAAAATTCATAGTGCATGAGTGAACGTGTTAACACCAGTGAAGAATGCTCATGTTGGCAGCAGTAATTTGTAAATTTTCTTGTGTTCTAGGACTGAACATAGTAGACATTACTTTCGTGATGGACTATAGAGGGCGAAGGAAAACGGGGGAAGCCTATGTACAGTTTGAAGAACCAGAAATGGCCAGCCAAGCGCTTCTAAAACACAGGGAAGAGATTGGTAACCGGTGAGTGAGCAGCTCTTAGCTGGGGTGTCAGGCCTTTGGATGAGCGCACAGGACTGCTGCAGTCAGGTCCTCCAGACCTGGGACACCAGGGACACCACAGTGAGCGACTAAATGCTCATCACCTGAATGCATTTCTCGATGTATTGAGTGAGAGTGCTAAGTGGAAGGTAGTCCTGGGGAATCCAAGTGTAGTTGTATTTGTTTTTTAGTATGTGCTTTTAAAGAAATTTTCTTTCATAGTCACAGTATTGTTACATAGAATAAAAACTAGCACCCAGTAATAGCTGCCCATAATCACATTTTCCCATCTGTAACAAAATATCTTTACAACTGACTTGTGTGAACCAGAGTCTAAGCAGGTCACACAGTTCATTTGATATGTCACTAATTTTATTAATCTAGAGCACATCCCCCCTCGTGTTTAGTCCATCTTCAGTTTATGTGTTTGTGTGTGGTGTATTCATGTGTGTGCATGTTGGAGGTGTACTTGCTCACCCATGCGTGTTCACATGGAGGCTGGATACCAGAAGTTAACATTGTATCTCCCTCAGTCTCTCCATCTTACTTGGATGGGTGGCTCAGAACCCAGGCCTTGCTGGTTAGCTAGACTGATGGCCAGCAAGCCCTTAGTCCACCTGCCTTCTCCCTGAGTGTCACCACCTCTGGCTTTCACATGGATGCTAGGGATCTGAACTTAGATCCTCATGCATGTGCAACAAGCATTTAGCCATCTAAGCCTTCTCCCTAGCCCCATCCTTTAAAAATGTGATTGGCTTTTGAAGAAATCAGGTCAGTTGTCTTGTTCAGAGTTTCATGTTCATATCATATGAGAGTGTGAAATGAGGTAGGAGATGTGTGTTTAAGCTTCATTTTTGGAGATCTAATAAAAATGCATACTGTGTGTGTGTATGTATGTATGTATGTATATTTGTGGTTTTGAGACATGATTTCACTGTAGCTCTGGCTGTCCTGGAACCCACTTTGTAGACCAGGCTGGCCTCGGACGTACAGAGATCTGTCTGCCTTTGCCTCCTACATGCTGGAATTAAAGGCATGCACCACCACACACTGGCTCCAAATGCATACTTCTAAATCAGTGTTTTGCTGTGTTCTTTAAAACTACTTTTAGATTTACCTATGCTTTGCTCACATGCTTTATCTGTGTGCTGAGTACCCAGGAAGGTCAAAAGAGCTGTACTCATTCTTACTTACTTACTATGTAACCCTGGCTGGCCTTGAATTTGCATTAACGTAAAGAAATTTTATTACTTTTTATGTGTGTGAACATAACGTGTACACACATGTGCCAGAGTTTGTCTGTGGAGTCAGAGGACAACTTGGACAACACGGAAAAGCTGGTTCTCTTATTCCACCCCGTGTGTTCTGGAGATCAGAACCACACCAGCAGGCTTAGCAGCAACTGCCTTTTATCACTGGGCCATCTCAGTGACTCCTGAACCTATTTGTAGCCCAGGCTCGAACCCCTGATCTTCCTTTTTCCTCCCCAGATGTTGTATGATGGGTGAATACCACTGAGCCTGATAGTATTTATGATCGTTCTTGATTTTCTCATTAGCCAGTTAGTTAAATTCTGGAGAAGTTATTTCTTCTAGGTTTTAGTGCGTTGTATAGACTAGCCTATGCAAAACAGAACTGTAAGCCCTTGAGGTTGTTACTTGTGAAAAGAAAAGCAGCTTTGTATTAGTCTTCTCATTAGTATAAGAAATATTTAGGGTGTGCTAACTTTATAAAAGAATAGGCTTATTTAGTTCCAAGTTTTAGATGCTTAAAAGTGCAGTGTGGTGAGGTTTTGGGATCCAGCCCTTAACCTTACACATGAGTGCTGTAAGAACAGTTTAGGGTAGGGATAAAAAAAATTACATCCTGGGTATGGGGGGATTACTCAGCAGGTTTAGTGCTTACTCACTAGCTTGATATTTTGGGGGCAAAAGTTTTAATGACTAAAATTAGCTGTTGACCTGATGGAAGCATTTTCTCATAAGCTAATGTATAGATGGATTTTTTTTTTATTCTTTCTAATATCTTATCTTTGGATATCCATGTTTTATAAGCTGTGGAAATATAATACATACCTGATCATTGTAATTTTTTTTAAAGGATTGTTTGGTGTGTTTGCTTGCACATGTGTACAGGTGCCCCAGTACTCCAGAAAGGATGTTTGAGTCCCTTGTGCTGGAGTTAAAGATGGTTGGGACGTGCCCCATTAGGGTGCTGGGAATGAACAATAGGCCCCTGGAAAAGCAGCAAGTGCTCTTAACTGCTGAGCCATCTCTCTTGTCACACATATTTAATTATTATTTTAAGTTAACTGTAAAGTTACTTTATACCGTGTGTGCCTTTTCGTTTTACTTTGTTTTAGATACATAGAGATATTCCCAAGCAGAAGGAATGAAGTTCGAACACATGTTGGATCTCATAAGGGAAAGAAAATGTTATCTTCTTCCACGAAATATATAACTGAGCCAGAAGTGGTATTTGAGGAACATGAAATAAATGAGGATATTCGGCCTATGACAGCATTTGAAAGTGATAAAGAGCTAGGTGAGGTCCTGCCTCTTCTGAAGATTGCCTTTATATGTTTAGCTTTTGTTAAACTGTTTTCATGGCTAGCTTATGTGAAATTGTGAGATTCAGAACCAGGGGGTTGAGTTAAAGATTGAACACAAGTGTAGAATGTACTTTGTTTATACGCAAAGGTTTAATTATTATGTATTTTTAAAAAAAAAAAATTGCATGTAATTTGTGTGTCTTATCTGTATGAATCCACGTGGCCATGCTCATGTGTGGAGGTCAGAGGACAACATGATGACCCAGGAATAGAACTTGGGTTGTCAGGGTTGGCAGTGGTGCCTTTACTAACTGGACAATCTTGACTGACAGCTGTTAGATTTTAAATTACTGTTTTGAAATTTTTAGTTGATGTATGTGTCTACATTGTGCTAGCACTTAATGGAGGCCAAAGGGCTTCCCTAGAGCTGGAGTTAAAAGCAGTTGTGAGCCTCCTGATAAGGGTGCGATGGGAACTTAACTCTGATCTTCTGCTAGAGTATTATTATTATTTATTTGTTTTGTGTTTGTGTGTGTAGCCCCATGTACCTTCAGAGGCCAGAAGAGGCCATGAGATCCCATGGACAAAGGGAGTTAACAGTCGGTTGTGAGCCAGCATGTGGGTGTTGGGGGTGGAAGAGCCATCAGTGCTCTTAACCACTGAGCAGTCACCCCAGCACCCCTTGTTCCTCTTTTATCCTGGCCATTTTGTGGACTGTCTCAAAGGCTGGGTGGTACAAATGTAACAAACCAGAGTAAAATGTCAATGTTTAAGCTAAAGTGGGAAATGATTTGGATAGAGAGTGGAAATCTTGGATAAGGAATTTATTTATTTATTTTTTTGTCTCTGGATTTAATTCTTTCTTTCATATCTAACTCCAATGCTCTGGGATTATCCTTTCATCATGTTTGCTATTTTTTCTTTTTAGTACTTACAGCTGAGAGTTTCTCCTACTTTACAATTTAATTAATGGTAATTTTTATCTGAGTTTCTCTTCTCTTACAGTTTAATTAATGGCCATTTTATCTTCTTGTCACATGAGATAAATTCTTCATTTGGGAATGGTTTGAGTTCCTAAGTGCTTTTGATGGTTGTTCAGGTGATGGCTGTTAAGGAGCAGAAATTTTAGGTTTTGGCCTTTAAAGCCCTTGTGCACTGGTTCAAGATGAATGAGGACTTTGCTGTAAAGGTCATATCTAATTATAATCTGCTAATAGCTCCAGAAGCTTTTGTGTCCTTGACAGTGTCTCTTTTTGTTCTTTCTCAGAATTGCCTAAAGAGATGTCAGAAAAACTTCCAGAGGCTGTTGATTTTGGAACTACGTCGTCATTGCATTTTGTTCATATGAGAGGATTGCCTTTCCAAGCCAATGCCCAAGACATTATAAATGTGCGTGGTAGTAAGCTTCATTTTGATAGGTTTGAGCAGTGTAAAATAGAACTTGCATTAATTTAATAAATGTTGGGGAAAACACTATTTCTGCAGTGCCCTTTGCTAGCCAGCATCTCCTGAAGGGCCTTGCTCTGTCTTCTGTAGGTGCAGGGTGTGGCTGTCACATGACTGGTGTGGGAGCCCAGGAGGTTGAGGCCAGCTTGGGCTGTGTAGTTAGACCCTCTTTCTTCAAAAAAGCATGCCTTTGTATTATTGTAATTTAAAGAGAAAAACATCAGAGGCAGTAATGAGGCGGAGGTGTAGTAATCAGAGTAAGTTGGTTCAATCATTTACTTTTAGTGTAGGCACTGAGACTTGGGTGCCAGTACAGCAGCTCTTGCATGTTCCTTGACATTCAGTGTCCTGATACTCCCTTCACAGGTGGAAAGTGCACTGCAGACAGCTAACATACAACTAGCTTATCAACAGAGTCTGTGGAATAATGACTTCTCTAGGTTGGCTGGGAATTTTGGCTTGTTGCCACTTGGCAACATCTTTTAATTGTGTGGAATTTTGGGGTGGGCTGGCAGGGTCGGGTACCATGGCATGTATATGGAGATCAGTCACCTAACGACATCTGACTTCTTCTACCATGTGGGTCATAGGGATTGACCCAGGTATTGGCTTTGGGGGTTAATTCATCTCACAGGCCATTTTTCCAGCGTCTTGACCCATTGTGTATTACTAGCAGGGAACAGTGAAAAACAAATTTCAGTTCATAATACAGTTGTTTGTTTTGGTTGGCCTCGTTTAGTTCTTTGCTCCACTGAAGCCTGTGAGGATCACCATGGAATACAGCTCCAGTGGGAAGGCCACTGGAGAAGCTGACGTGCACTTTGAAACCCACGAGGACGCTGTTGCAGCTATGCTCAAGGATCGGTCCCATGTTCGTAAGTATGACCACTGCTTCTTTCCTGCCACGGTGCTTTGCTCTTTTGTTTATTTGGGAATCAGCCTGGAATTTTTCCTTTGGCAATTGCATTCTTTTAGTACTGCTAACATGAATGTAAAAAAAAAAAAAAAGAAAAACTATAAAAATTTATCTTCTGATAATTTTGCATATTTCTACTTAGTTTTTCTTTTTGTTTACCTGTTTTAGTGTTTTAATTTTATATGTGGTTTTTAGCTCGGCAGTCTGACTCTGTAGCTAGACTCGGGGCTGTCCTTCCTCAGGCTCCTGTGCACCAGGGTTGCAGGTGTGGGACTGTACACTTAGCTTTGTTTTTAGTTAATTAAGGAAAGGTGAAAGGCTTTCTGTTGCTGCCAAAGTGTGACAAAAGGGCTTTAATCTTTTTCAAACTTTGCAAAACTAACTTTTTCTTTATATTCAGAACATAGGTATATTGAGCTGTTCCTAAATTCATGTCCTAAAGGAAAATAAGACTTCAACAGACCCCCAGATAATAAGGTAATTAAGCTACAACTATGAAAAACTTTAATTAATAATTAACTCAATAATTGTTATTCTGTAAGAAACCATTCTCTTTACTAAAGACCAAATTAATGATTAGTGAATTATCAATATAAAAAATTTTCTGAAAAGTAAATTGTGGTTGTGTAGTGGCTTTAAGCATCATCTCTATATAAAATCTTTTTTTTTTTTTCATAATTCCTCACATCATGCCCTGTGCTGAAACTTAATTGTGACAATTACTTTAACAGCTGTAATCATAACACATAGAAAATGCATTCTACATTAGCTGTTCTTCCCTTTAAAATGTTTCATCAGTTGAAAGATACATAATATAAAGTTTAAATTTCATACTTGAGTGCTATATTTACATTATTCCTCCCCTTCCTCCCCCTTCCTCTCACATTAGTGGCATGCACACACGTGCACACACGCCCACACACACACTGCTGAGTCCCTTTAGTGTTGTCTGTGTGTGTATTTGCTTAGAGCTGAGCATTTGGGATTGGATATGCTGTCTGAGTATCAGAAAGCTGATTCTTCCTTTCAGCAGTAATTGATTGCCTGTAGCTCTTGACCTAGGGTGGAGATGTCACACTGAAGGTCTCATGTAGCAGCCACGTCCTGGGCTTTCACGTCTGCAGCCTCCCACCTGTGTCCAGAAGGCACTGTTGCAGCAGTGTGCTGAACCTCTGGCCCTGTCCTTTTCCCACCCACACTCAGAGATGCTCTCTGAGCCGTAGGTGTGGGGTTGTGTTGTACCTGTGTATGGGCCGATGACACAGTCATTTATTCTTTGCATTTTAAAGAGTTTGTGTTATACAGCCCCAACTATCCTTGAACTTTTAATCCTCTTAACTCAGTGTCCTGAGTGCTGGTGATTACAGGCATGTGCACTGTACCTGTCTGTAAAGAAAAGTTTCTGTTTTAGTCAGCGTATGACAAGCTAGGCTGTGGTGGCACATGGCTTTAATCCTAGCACCTGAGAGGCAGAGGCAGAGGGATCTCAGTATGAGGCCAGCCTGGTCTATAGAGTTCCAGGACAGCCAGAACTGCACAGAGAAACCCTGCCACAAAAAACCAAAACAGACAACCAAAAAAGAGAGAGACATACATGACATCATATTTAAATTAACATTTTCCTAATTTCTTGCTGTTTGTTCTCTTATGTAAATGTAAAGTGCTTTGTTTCTTCCATGCTATGTTTCAGTATATTGCACTGCAGTCATTTTGTTTCTTATTTTCAGGATGAAGCAGGAAGCATCTCATTTGCACATCTCTCTGGGACGTGGGATATAAAGATCCAGTTGATTGGCAGCAACTGCTGGAGAAAGGATCTGAGCATATTAGATAGTGCTGTGTTTAGACCGAGAAAGATTCATCTTAGGATTATGAAATCTACAAATTTAAAATTCTGCCTAAACAGTCCATGGTCTGATTCAGAAAGTCTGGTTTATGTAATTTGGTTTTCTGTCATAGAGGATATATCACAGCTCTAAGATGGTGTTTCCATTCAGTGCTGCTCTTTAGATCCTTCTTCCCGCTTGTTTTTGCCCATGGTTGAGAGCTCCAGATATGAAAATTCTCATGGAATAAATTAATGGTGTATTTTACCAAACACTCACCAAAGCAGTGGAAGGTTTCAGAATGTTAATAAGCCAGTCTGATTTGGTCAAATAGTTTTTTATTTTATCTGTATTTGATTAATTAGGGGTAAAAATTAAAACAAAAAACCCCACAGGTTAGTGAGTATAAGTGATCACTCGACAGATTTGTCTTTAGAAACACTTTTGTCTCCTTAAGCCTTCACCTAAAGGCATTTAATGTTGGTGCCTAAGTCTTGGAAGTCTAGGCTTCATTCACCTTTTTTTTGGTTTTAGACAAATCTTACGGCTGTTGTTAGGTTTGAAATTGTAATGTGACATATCAAAGCAGTCCAGACTGGTAAAGACATTAATAGCTTCACTTGATGCAACCAGCTTAGATAGTAAAACAAAACAGAATAAATCAATCTAAGTCTCCTCATTTGCTTTCCAATGGGGTAGCCATCCCATATTTTAGAACAAGTAGGGGTGCCTTGCTTAAATAAAACTAGCAATTAATTGTGTGAAGGATTTATGGATAGAGCTGTATTTCTGTCACATTGTGACAGTACTTTCTGCTTTAATAATAAATAGCTTGTTATTTAAATATTGGGTGAAATGGCTGGCTTCAAAAATAGTCATTAATAAACTTAACTTTATGAATACCTGTGTAGAAGAATCAAAGTTCTGTATATTTTCTTTACCTTGTTCCTATCCTCAGGGTGACAGCTGCCACCAAGAGATAGTAAGTCTCATTCTCAAGATTGAATTTTCTGAACTTTCAGATGTGATAACCTGGAAGAAATGTGTATCACTTAGTACATAGCCATCTTTGATTACCAGCTAAGGGGCAAGATTGCTGTCCTGTAGACAATAAATGAATGTTTGTTTCAAGTTGGATATTACCTGAGAGTGTTTTTTAGTAGAATGTACAAGTCAACCAAGTTTTTTATTATATCTAGATTTGATATAATAATATGAAATGGTTTCCAGGTGTGTTAAAAAAAATCAGTAAGGGGGTTGGAGAGATGGCTCAGCGGTTAAGAGCAGTGGCTGTTCTTCGAAAGGACCAGTTCAATTCCCAGCACCCATATGGAAGCTCACAACTGTCTATAATTCAAATTCCAGATGATCTGACACCCTCACACAGACATACATGCAGTCAGAACACCAATATACATAAAATATAAATAAGTTATAAAAAAAGGGGGTGGTGGTGGCTGGAGAGATGGCTCTGGTTAGAGCTCTTGTCTGCTCTTGCAGAGGTCCTGAGTTCCAAGTCCTAGCAACCACATGTTGGCTCACAACCATCTGACTCTACTGCCCTCTTCTGGCGTGCAGGTATATATGCACATAGAACATTTAGAATAAATCTAAAAAATTAAAAAATCAAGTGGCTTAGAGTTAGGTGTGGTAGCATATAAGGTTTTAATCCCAACACATTGGAAGGTGGGAAAATCTAAACTTGACCCACCATGTGGATGCTGGGAATTGAACTCAGGACCTCTGGAAGATGCTCTGAGCCTCTGAGCCATCTCTCCAGCCCGAAAATCTAAATTTGAGGCCAGAATGCTCTACATGTTGAGTTCTGGGCCAACCAGGGCTATGTAGTTGAGACTCTCAAAAACAAAGCAATCCATGTGGGTTAACAAGCTTTCCAGTATACGGCTCACATGGAGTTGTTTTCATAAGTGGTTGACCAGACCGTAAGAACTTGTGTCTAGAGTTATGTATCTATTAGGGTGTGAGCTTTCTGTCTTTTACAGCTGGTCTCCAGTTTGCTGTGGGAAAGATCTGCAGGGCCTGATGGGATTGAGCTTGTTGAAGAATTTATTTGAGTTTATTTTCAGTTAATGAGTTTCATTTATCCATCTCTAGGAACAGAATGAGAGGAAAAGCATTAAGTGTGTGTTGGGTAAGCTTGAAGGGATATATCTTGCCTTAGTGGGGGCTGAATTCCCTGAACATAGCAAGTCTAACACTGGGAAATTATAAACTCACATTCTCACTTCAGGATTTCTCGTAACAGGCCACTGAATTAGTGCTTGCTGATAGAGCAAGTGTAGTTACTGGGAAAGAATCACATAGTTGAATAAAAGTTCATTTACTTCTTAGTTTTATTTTGAGTTGAAGCATATCCATTTCTCGAGATCTGATTTGCTATTCACAGGCATCAGTAATGGATCTCCTGCATTAATTTGGAATTTTTTGTATTGTAGAGCTGTCATAAGGAGTAGTGGAGTTAGGCGTGGTGGTCATACTTATAACCCCAACACTAAGAAAGCTGAGGAGCACAAGTTAGAGGCCAACCTGGGCTACATATGTGAAATCTTGCTCCCCAAACTTTTTAAAGAAAAACCCAATAGGATTAGGGCATGTGGCAGTCTGATAAAGGAGCTGCAAGGGAGAAAAACTGAAGTGTTGGAAGAGACTGAAGCTGAGTGTCCTGTGGCTGAGATGCTGAAGCGTTTGCCACTTGGGAAGGGACAGACAGCTGTGCTGTGGGGAGAGGAAGCTGAAGCCACTGCCTGTGGGTGACATGCCATGACCCAGCTTCCTGGTCAGGATAGCGTTGCTGTTCGCATCCTCTGCCCTCGGCAGTCTTCAGCAGGTATCACCTGGAGATGTAAACACTACATTGTGAAAATAGCTGAGAATGGGAAAGGAGTCACCTTCACACAGCAAGTTCAAGTTCTGGAGGCTTTTGACAAATAGAACTAATGTCTAAATGCTTCCTGCTCCCTGATTTTAGATGAGAAAGTGTTTTCATAAGCTTCAAGCTGTTACTCTAGGGAATAATGTGGCTATAAATTGTTTTATGGTTCGTGCAGACATGCTGTCAGCTTGGGATGAGTGCCGTGGGGTGTGCTAGCTGGGAGAGGGTTCTTTTTAAGGAAACCTGGCTGCATGGCTGGGCTCCCACCTTGGTGAATGGGTTCCTGCTGCTCCACTTCCTTGGTGTTTGGTAGTGTTATTTTTGGGTTTTAACTTTTCTATTAGGGTATTTAGTGTTTCTGTCTGAATTCCAGTTCAATAATGGCATTACACATCTTTGTATATACTTCCTGCCTCTATATCATCATTGTGGAAGTCTGTTTAGATCTTTTGCCAAAGTTTAAAATTGATTTTTACTGGTGGTTAGGTGATAAGAAGATTTCGATGTAAAGGCTGGATGGTATGAGGAGAATGGTGGAATATCTGAAAAAGGAAATAGCAGTAAAGGGTATGCTCTTATTAATGCACTAGCCACACAGTTCTCAGGCCCTGGTCATCTGCTTCTTACGCCAACACTGATTTTTAAGTATAAGCGAATATTAGACACATGGTTCATTTAAAATTATAAATTATTAGTATACATAATACTGTGACTTTTTTGCCTGCTTAGCCAACCTAAAGAGAAGTTATTTGTGTGTGTGTGTTTGTGTATGTGTGTGATCCATGTATGATGGTGTGTGTATATGTCAGAAGACAACTCTGAGGAGTTGGCCCCTCCCATGTTGGGTCCTGGTATTGAGCTCAGGTTGTCAGGTTTGTCAGCAAGTGCTTTTACCTGCTGAGACATCTCACCAGCCTGATTATTTCATATCTATATTAAAAAGAAAATCTCATTTTTCTCCATGTTGTAGAATACAGGTGTATGTAATGTACTATGCCCTGTACTGATGAACACGTTTAAACTGCTTCTCGTGTTAAACATGCTGAGATGAATTACCTTGTACACATGTGTCAGTTGTATAGATGTACATTTCTCTGTGGGGTAGGTGCTGAGGTAACGTGCACTTGGAGTGCACACCTCAAATTAGGATCTGCTCCCACGCACCACAGCAGACCTGTAAGCCCTTCCCCAAAGACCTGCCAACAGGCTGCAATCTCTACAAGTCTTGATGTTTAGAAAATACGCTGTTATGTGCCAGTGTTCCTTCACAGTTAAAAACTTCAGCTCTTTAACAAAAACTAACGAGGTGGGCAGTGATTGCGCACACCTTTCAGCCAACCTGGTCTACAGAGTTCCAGGACAGCCCTGGTTACAAGGAGACACCCTGTCTCAAAAAATCTGAAAAACAGCAAATACTCCAATTTCTTTTTCTGTGAAATGTCTTGGTAGCTTTCCCTCATTTTTCTCTTAAAACAGATTTTCACTGTGGACAGTCACTCTCCATATAGTTGTAAGTTAGCAGTTCATGGTGTACATTGTGTCATATATAGTCCCTGTCCACTAATATTTTTAATTTAATTTTTTAAGATCCAGGGGCCTCTGCCAGGCTTGGTGGCATAAAATCACAGCACTCAGGAGGCTGAGGCAGGATCATGAGTCTGGCCAGCCAGAGCTACACAGTGAGACCCTTTCTTGGTCCAAACAAGAAATAGAATCTCTGTTGCCCAGAGGTAAAGTAATTGTCCTGAAATGTATCGGATTCCTGAGGAGCTGGGACTGTAGGTCCTTGTTGCCTCATGTCATTTTTTTTCTTCCCATTTGAAGACCCTAGAAAACATGAACTCATTGGCATGAGTTTCAGTAAGCATCTCTTTTAAAGAAAACTTTAAGAAGTTCCTTTCTAGAAGTGCAATTATCTGAAATGTCAAGGAAAGGTTTGAGTCAAGACCAAACAGTTCTTACTGGAGTGAGCACTGCCTGCTTTGCACTGCAACATTTTTTTTCCCAAAGTGAAAATTCAAAGCACACTTAGCATATGAATTGCCAGTGTGCTCTGTACTCATTACTCATGCTACCTGCAACACTTGGCCATATCTTCATGCCTGTCCATCCATCAATCCTTCTCCCAGTATGCTGTAGATTATTGATTCCTTCACTTCTCAGCACTTGTGTTTTAACTAGTTTTCTTGAATGGGAATTTCCAGGTAGCTGGAACATGTCAACATAGCCTTTGATGAGCTTTTGGTTCTGGCTCTGTCAGTGTTAGTTGCTGCATGCGGTACATTTCACGGCAACACTCTATTTTCCCTAGTCACTTGTGGCCCGTGTCCTACCTTAGCCCTGCCACAGTGCAGCAGTCCAGCGCAGTTAGGACTTAGGGATCATAGATTACTTTTGCTTGTTGTAGAGCTTAATAGCAGACCACTCGGCATGTATTCTTCTGTAAGTTTCTTTTGCTCTGATTCGAGAGTCATGTTTCAGCTTTGTTCCCTTTCATTCCACAGTAGGGCGTGTTTTTCTTTTGCTTGTTAGGTGGACAATGGGTGTTTGCAGTTTGGAGATGCTTTGAATAAACGTAAGGAGTAAGCCTTCTTATGTACTTTCACTTTAATTTCGTGATTAGAATATCTCAAGGTATAAGGCTGCTTATCTTAAATTTTATTGGATTATGGCATACCCTTTTCCTTAGTGGTCACCTTGTTTCTCTTGTCTCTTCCCTTTGGTGTGGGTAGGCTAAGGGTCTTTTTCAATAACTCCAACCTTGCTTTTTTTTTTTTTTTTTTTAAAAGCACGGTTTCTCTGTAGCTGTCCTGGAACTTACTCTGTGTCCTTAGTGCTGGGATTAAAGGCTTGTTCCACCATTGCTTTCCAACCTTACTCTTTGAAACAGTTCCTCCCACTGAGCCTAGAGATCACTGGCTGATGAGCCTGGCTGGCTGAGGAGTTTCCAGGGATGCTCCTGCCTTCCTCCCTCATACTGCCACACCCAGTTCTTTATATAGGTGCTGGGAATCCAAACTCAGGTCCCCTTTTTTGTGGGCCATGCACTTTTACTGAGTGGGGCATTTCCCAAGCCTGTTTGTCTAGTCATGATTTTTTTTATTGAAAATATTTTTCATACAATACATTCTGATTACAGTTTCTCCTCTTCCAACTCTTAGATCCTCTCCACTTCCCCACTTCCCCAAATCCACACCCTTTTTCTCTCTCCCATTGTAGTATACAAACAGGCATCAGC